CCCCATTGTCACTTCAGCAGAGTGAAGCAGCGGCGGCGGCGACGGTTGGTGCAAGTGATGGCAGATCTGGCGACAGTGGCGTGCGGTGTTGGGTACGGTGATAGCGGTGGATTTTGCTGAAAAGAGTTGCGTACCAACTGTTTTGAGCTGAGCCAAAGATCCGTCTAAAATTTTTTGTGCTCGGAGAAATTCTGCAACAGCTTCCACCACAGCAGCGGCGATGTGTGGTGATTTGAGAAGCCATGGAATACAAGCCACCACCATGTGTGCTTTGAGAAGAAGAACCCAAGTAAATTGCTTGGGACTTGCAACTTTTTGTTTCTCCTGGAAAATCAATCCCCTTTGGGAATCATTTGCTTCAATTAAAGAAACATTTTCAGGACCTTGAAATTTGAAAATTTGTGATTAAAAATTAATATGTGACTAATAGATTTGAAAATATGTGATTAATAGATAAAAATTATCATGTTATCAATCATTATAAACAAAACAATCATGCGTTGTGACTTGTGACTTGACCTGTGACTTGATTTGCGACTTGTGACCTGGGTTGTGACTCTTGACTTGTGACCTAAGCTGTAACTTGTGACATGGACTGTGACATGTGACATGGGCCGTGACTTGTGAGATGTGACTTGTGACCTGAGTTGTGACCGTAAAAAAAACATGTTAACCGTACAAAAAAATATAGCGGAGCAGTCGCCAGAAAAATCGACGCTAGAACGGTCGCTGGAATAATCGCCGGAACGGTCTCCGGAATCGGAGTAGTCGCCGGAGCGGTAGAGATGGTGAAGGTGGGATGGGTTAATTATATTATATTATAATTAAATATTTAATAATAAATTAATTTAATAATTTATTATTTCATTAAAAAAAATTTAAAAAAATCTAATTTTGGTAACTTTAAACTTGTGTTCTTATTTTTTAAATAGACTAAACTTATACTCTTGAATATGTAATCTTCCCTTTGTACACTGAAGGTCCAAGGCCGGCCCAATAGTGACTATGCGAAAAGAAAAAAAATGAAAGCCACAATATCGAAGAAAAAGAGTGCAAAAATCCTTTTTGAGTTTCTACAATAACAAATTAAAAATAATATTATGTAGCATCAATCTAAGTAACACTGAACCCCACATTCTACTATTGGTTAAATATGAAAATAAAAAATAAAAAATATAATTGATCACAAATTATAGAATATAGGTTCCACTACCATCTAGAGCATCTGTGGTGCTAAGTAAAATTCACAAATTAATCAAGAAAGTAACAAATTATACTTACAACAATTAAGGTTCTCCCAAATAATTTTATCAATAGCCAACTTTAAAATTGAAGCTTCAAGTTGCATGCTGCCAGTTGTCTCAATATCAATATACAGAGAAACAAACAAACAAAGAGAGCTTTTATCATAACAATCAAACATTATACAAACCATCCTCCCATTATTACTATATGACAAATTAAGAGTCCCATATATTTTCTATTTAATACCTTTCTGTAGTGGGAAGGAATGGATAACACTGAAAGTATTATGAAAGAGCAAAATAATTAATCTTGTTCGTCATATTGTCCAGTATTACTCAAGAAATATGCACTTCGGATATATTCAATCAAGCCTTCTCAGTAAATACTGAACTTGCACTTCCTTTGTCAATGGCATGATCCAGTCCCCATATAGATCGGCAACTAGGATTGGATTAATTTTGTAAACTGGATCGGTTCCATCTACACCTACGCCTACAGTCAGGTCTTGCCCGTAAGTTCTGGTTTTCATTTCGACCCTTCTTTTGATTGCCTCTTCGACTGTTGGATATGTTAGCAAATCCATCAATTGGTCTTTGTCCTGAAATATAACCATAAAGTAATCAGCATTGGCTTAAACTCGTTTTAGATAACAAGGCTAAATACAAAGTGCATTTGGGCACGTAGGACTCGATATGATTGGTCATTGGACCGTATAATTTAACAAAATGTTAGCTATTTTCTTGCTTAATACTCTCCATTACTATCCAATTCACCACGCGAAACATGCTTAAAGAGAATAAAAATGGATTTCGATTAAGCATATGCAGATCAAGAATAACTAAAATCAATTTACTTGTGCTTTAATGGCAGCATTATAGACATCTGGGGAGGCTCGGTATTTTGCTTCTGCCACAAATTTACCATAATGTATTCTTTTCGACAGAACCTGCATGCAGGAACTCAGCATCAATACAAAGCAAAGTTGCGAAATCTATTAATTTTAAACAAGATCACCATTACTGTCGGCCAAAGGTTTCAAGTTCAAAGAGATTTACATGAAACGTGATTATCTTGGAAACTACAGGGTCCTCAAGTTATGTTTAAGTTTATTAAGAAGAACGACATATACATTTGACGTTCAGGTAACAGATTAACCCAAGTCAGAATGGTACCTGCAAGCAAATTGTGTCACAAGTTGCTGCTGATCCGCAGTTACCATCGTCACCCTCTTTAACTAATCTGGGGAGAAGATTCCGGAAGTACATATCCCATATTTTGACATTTATATTTATTGAATCTGAGGCTGGATGTAAAACCTGTATGAATATCAGAATTTATATGTTGAGAAACGTTAGGCCAGATAAACATAAAAATGCCAATAGATAGGAAAGCTCACAACAATGAAACATGCACATGACTACCAGTCAATTGATCCCGGGTTCTGATATTTTAGAAAGCAAACCATCATAAATACTCAGTTTTACCAGAAGTTGGCTGATAAACAAGTACCAAAAAAACTGAGGATACAGAGAACCAAAAGTGGTACACACATGATTGGGCCAAGTTCTACAACATGTAAATGTACTTGCCTAGTTGACAGGGTCTACATTTATAGTTACTATGCAACAATTTCCACAGGGAAATCTCACTATTGATCCCTAGCTGCCCAAGTAGCAACTTGGTCGTCCAGTTTTTATTACAGTTGCACAGTTCCCAATGACAAACTGTTCAAATATCTATCACATTGTCACGAATCCCTCACATGTCCAACTTAGTGAAGCTAGGTTTTCTTTTTCAACTTGGGACCTAATGTATAACTATAATACAAGGTAGAGAACCAATATTCTACTCGGGCAATAGGTTGCCAACCAATGATATAATTTTCCCTATGTACTTATTTTCCATGCAATGTTTGTTAAGTTCTGTTGGTTGCCATTTTGGAACAAGCATTTGATTACATTGTCTTTTGTTAGAGGGGAAAATGATAGAATTACTGATATGGATCACACATCTAATACTTTACCTGCGGGTATTTCAGAGGAGGCAACATTGGTTCAGGTAAATCATCAGGGAAGAAAGGATGCTCATCCGGGCTCTTGTATCTTCCAACCTGGGTTGAATATACCTCGGAAAATGAATATGTTTTCACTTCTCATAGGTTGAAATAAAGATTTATATACCTTAGCATGAAGTTTTTCAGTTTCTTTGACCATGTACTGAACCAAAGAACCATGGAATCCATCCATGGAAAAAGCATCAGGATTATATGTCTCTGCATTGTAGCAATATTGGGCTCTCTCGACAAGGCTGAATATAATGCTATCCTCTTGCCGAATTAACGAGTTTCGTATACCATCAAGAGTATAGCTCTCAGTCTCGTCTACCCTATTTTTCGGTGTCAATCTGAAAGGAAACGTAGGTAACTTGAGAACACAGATGTACAGGAGAATTTTAAAAGTTCCAAGATCTTCAAGAATGTCAGCAATGAAGGGGTCAAAGCTCTCAAAAATAGTGATCATGACAAATTCTATCTAGAAAATAGGCATCCGGCACAACAGAAGAAGATATCGTTTTCATTATTCTATGCGTACAAAAATATTAAGAAAACAAAGTAGTCCAATGTTTCATCTTATTGGTTGAGGCGTATGAATATCATCTGCAAGTTTGTGCTGCAATGAGCTCGTCTATGATTAACAAGAAAAATCAATTTATTTGGGACTTTTGCTGGCATGAATCATAGTGTCAATTGTCAAATACTTTAGCAAATCCGAAGGTAATCAAATTTCTGCTAAATGTTTTGTGTCATAATGTAAATGGCAATAGCTACATAGTAGGTGATTCGAATCATGGCATCAAACTCTTGGTGCTTTCTTTTCAGTGTTTACAGTTTGATTCTTAAGAAAAGCAATCATCGTATGATAAATCAGAACGCCTCACTAAAAATTCACAAAGAAAAAGGAAAAGTTCAATTGTATAGTCAGAGGAACAAAAAGAAACTCAATAAAGAAACAAGCATAATAGGTATCCTCACATTTTAAGGAACCTCGGAATTGCAATTCTACAAATTAAACAATAAAAACTAAAAGGCAATCGAGTGTCTACTCTAATTGCTTTTGAATAAAAACTAATTAGAAAATATAACAAAATCATGCTCATTTATTAATAAAACCATCAGTAGTGAAAACAATAATCAGAATTTAAGTTATTCTACCATAAAATTATTTTAAAATAAGAATTTATTATTAAGTTAACAATAAGCTAAAATCTTTTTGATTACCCTAGCACAAAACATGCACTAAGTTTCACAACTAGGAGTGTACACGGTTCCTTTTGGTTCTGGTTCTAAGAGAACTGAACCGAACCATGAACCAATGATTTTTTCTATAATGCAACTAAATGGTTTTTTTCTAAGATATGGAACCGAACCGAACCATTCGGTTCTGGTTTGATTCTAGTTTCATTTCTTAAATTCTCAGACCTTCAAATTATTAATTATCAAAATAACAAAAGTCCAAACTAACAAACAAAATATACTCATAACTTGAATACACAAATAAATTTTCATTTCTATACAAAAGAATGTTTAATAAGTTAAATTGCAGCAACTAAATTAATTGCAGCAGTTTAATACTCCATGAATGTTTATTGGATTGTCCTCTATTTGTGAAGATCATAAATAGTTCATCAAATAATTAAGATAAAAAAATAGTTTAAAAGATTTTTAAGTGGCTGATCAATTTCATTTTCAGATTTTGAAGGAGTTTCCTCCATTGACGTGATAAAATGCCGTGTCAACGTGCCGCGACGTTATAAAAATTGAGAAGGAGTGAAGGGGAAATGATTCAAATGAATACAAAATTAGAGTGTACATAAATAATGAGCTTTCTCTAATGATCCCGAACCAATTAAAATTTAACATTAAGTTTAAGTTTGGTTTTGGTTTTGGTTCTCGATTCTAGAATAAGAACTAAACCAGAACAATAATCAAATGGTTCTTGGATCAAAGAACTAAAACCATAATTTTTTTTTGTTAGAACCGAGCCGAATCGCTCGATTTGGTTTGGTTTAGTTTGATTTGATTTGATTTGGTCTGGACATTTTGTCCACCCGTACACACAAATACGATGATTAATAACATGTAGACAGAATCAATTTAAAATTCCACAGATCAGAGAGGACTAAAACTACCCAATAAGACTAAGAGCTCAATTCAAAATCTTTTTCATCACCATGGAACAAAATAGGCACTAAGTGAATACAATTATGATAAGATACAACTAGACAGAATCAACTTGAAATTCCACATAGCAGAGATGACTTCAACTACCCAATAAGTCGAAGAGCTCAATTTGAAGTTCAGGAAGAGGGGGGGGGGGGGGGGGGGGGGGGGGGGGGGNGGGGGGGGGGGGGGGGTGGGATAGACTGTACCCAACGGAAATGGCAGAGGCTTGAATTAACTTAACACCCTGCTTAGGAAATCTTGAATTTTGACAGCAAAAGCTGCTATTTTTGTGCCATATTTGGCGGACAAAAGGGGTACTTAATCTTGAAATCTTGGAATTACTGGGGCTTACTACACCAGGAGAGGCGAATCCTAACAGCTTTGCCTCCATTTTTCAAGAAAGCAAAAGGATTACAAACCGAGAGGGGGATCTAAAAATAAAAGCCCACAAGTGCACAGAAATGTGAGTTTTGTTAAGGCAAGAAAAGAGTTTAATAGGAAAAGGATTACCAGTATCAGGTCCATGTAAACCAAATTGCCGTGGGTTGGTGGCAAGGTTAAGTTGTTGACGTTTGGTAGGTAGAAAATGAGAACAGGAATCCACAAACGACACACTCGTGAGCAGAAATGGATTGTTGGGGAGAATGGGTTATGTGATTAATCAAATAACTTAGTCACTTACATTTCACGTCTAGTAAAATATTATGTAAATAATTATGTACAAAAAGTATTTTCCCGTAGAATTAAGTACTTTGAAATAAGCAAATGCCAGAATGGATGACGGAAGCACAGGTGAATTGGTTGTATTGGCCGCCAAAAAACTGTTTTTTTTTTTCAAGGACAAATCAAAGTTTTAGACTTCTGCTTCTGTTACGCAATCTTTCAACTCCTTCGGTCAAGGTAGAAAAACCCGGGTGGGGATTGGAATTTGATTGATTAAAAATGAAAATTTTACAAAAATGTCAAATTCCATGTTTATCAATTGAAACGTGTCTAAGCTCATATTTGGTACACATTAAAATTTTTATTCTCATTCTTCTGTTCATTTTCAACCACACATTTTTTAATAAAATAATATTTTCCATCACATCAATAACTTTTCCTTCTCTTTCAACCACAAATTCTCCATCAATCTACTATTCCAGAATACATTCTTCTAAAATAATGTGGGGCAAACGCACCCTAACTCTGATAACCATTACAAAAATGGCCCAATTTGATATCAATATATCTATTATACACAGAAGGAAAAGCACATAAAAAATATAAACGCGTCACGCATCTCGAGGCAATGAAGATTCTTTCACGAGAAGCTAAAATAATGTGCAAGTTATTACTTAGTGGTTCTGTTTTTTACAGAATAATTGTATGTAACATCATCGGGGTTGCAATCTCATTACTTAGGGGACATTTCTTGCACTTTCCTCTCAATAATTCAAGTGATTTACCTAATGTGCTGTCTTGATGTGCAAAATTCCATGGCATGAAATGACTTGTCATTCGAGTGCTTGTTATTATTGGATGGGAATGTTGTTGGGAGTAGGTGGCCAAGGACTGTCATAAGATGTGCGAAGTGGACCCAATCATTTATCAGGGGGAACAATGAATTGTCAATGTAAAAGGTCGAAGCACTTTGCTACTAGTACAGGGGTGTGGATTCACAGGAAGGGGGTGTGTAATTTCAGGCTTTTTCAGCCACTCACATGCAAGGAGGGGGGTGGTATTTTTTTTTTTTTTAAATAAATGTGGGGCCTGCCAGTGCGAGAGACCTGGTAGGCCCTTGTTCACAAGGGCCTCCTGTACGTGAGGCATTTTCCAAGGTAAAAAGTGGAAATTACATGCACCAAGATTTTAAGGTTCCAATTTTAAAAATCTAGTTTAGGATTTATTTAAAATCAGGTGATAAAAATAAAAATAATATAAATTAAGTTATATACTCACACCATGTCTCATTCAAATCCTAAATCATTTTATTTCTCTTCTTCCTCTCACTTCTCTATTCCTTTCTCTTCCTCTCCCATCTCTCTACCCTCTTCCTCTCACAAGAACCATCGTCGCCATCGGAGATCACCTCCAAGCTCTGTTGTATAGTGGGCTGTTTGCTGTGAGAGATGCTGCACAGAGAAGCTGCGCGCAACAACGATGATGTCGTTACGTGTGGCACTACACAATGCCGATGCAACAGCAATCAACAGTGGTTGTGTTGGTTTTTTTTTTTTGGAGTGGTTGTGGCAATGGTGATGGTGGTTTCCATGTTTTGTTGGTGTTGGAGTTTTGAGAGTGGTTTTTGTTGGTGACGCTACTGGTGGCATGAGATGGTGGTCACAAATGATGGTGTGTTGAGGATGCGTTCAGTTGGGGTCGATGGTGGAGCGGTCGGATGGGATAAAGAGTAATTGTGATCAATTATTTGGGTGATTGTTATCAACAAAATGGTTAATTTGTAACCAATAAATAATACATGACCTTTAAAAAATTTGAGATTGCGACTAAATTTGTAATCAATTAATTTGATAATTTGTACTGTAAAATAAGTTTATGACATGTAAATTTTGTGATTTGTGATCGAGAAATAATACACGATCAATTAATTTGATAATTCGTGACTGTAAAATAAGTCGTGACCTGTAAATTTCGTGATTTGTGATCGATAAATAATACGTGACCAATTAATTTGACAATTTGTAAAAAATAAAGAAATTTCGACCTTTAAAATTTGTAATATGTGACCGGTAACTAGTACGTAATTGTGATAATAAATTATATAATATTGTGATTTTAATATATTTAATTAATTATTTAATTACTAAAATGTGATTTAAAACTTTATTTTTTGAAATAATAAAACTAATTTCTTAATTTTGAAATTATATTTCACAATCATCTTATGTACGTAAGGTTCCCGGGTAAAAATTTGAACACTTTTGGTAGCCTAAAAATGGGTTGTTAAAGATAATAAGCTTTGGAAAAAATAGGCTGGACTTGTATTAATCCATTGAATCTGAAAATACTTTTTGTCTCTCATAATCCCCTAAATTTCTGGTTATATTTTATATTCACAAAACTCCTAAATAGAAAGTGAGTAATATGTTAAATTTCATTTTGTGAAATTAATTAGACGACTATTAAATTAAATCATAAATCCCAACACAATTTCAATTAGAGCATTCCAACAATTTACTTTTACTTCATTCTATTATTTTTAATTTCCTTTTATTTCACTTACTAATTAAAAAGAACAAATCATTTTACATATTACTCGAGAATTTAGAGAAACTAGAATTGAACAAGTTAAGCACGAGTAAGTCAGTTCTCATTGTTTTTGGTACATACTGAAATAAAATACGTTCCATCTGGACCACGTCAACCATGAAAGGGGTCCCATCGCATGCTCAAGTGCCATGGGACGGATATTTATGCATCGATAGCCGAGGCTTGTTAGTCCAAGAATGTTTACAGATAAATTTGCTTGCCATAAAAATTTATGCAAATTTATACGAATGCATACCAGCTTTGAGCTTTTCAGTTGATGAATCTTCGCTTATGTCACGAGCATTGGGCTAAGTTCTAAATCAACTATAACTGCCCATATACGGGTTCAGGACCAATTTGGAATCTGGCTGTGAAAAAATCCCCAAAACTTTAATTTTTGAGTTGTTGAAGTTCGAGGATTCATTGCCTTTAAGCAGTTGTGTAAGAATGATCTCGAATTCAATTTCAGTTTTAAAGGCAATTGTTTCCAAAAAAAAATTACAGCACTCTTCCCAAAATCAGTAGGTGCAACTGTCTCCGCTGGTCCTTGAGAGGCTCATCCAATGTTGCTCTGAATGCTCCCAAACGCGTTCATAAGAAAGTTTTATAATTTATGGCTTAATAGCCAAAAAAAACTTCTTATCTATTAGACGTTGTGCACAAAACCTCATATCTATTGGAAATAGCAGAAAATGTCAATGCCTGAAACCTTTTGTATGGAATACAACCCTTTAGGTATGAAAAACTTCATACCTTTCAATTCTTTTAGTTTAACCGTTTAGAAAAGTAAAAATTATAAAAATTTAAAAGGAAAAATTGTAGTTGTAGTCCCAAACTTTTTATGTTTTTGCAAATTATACCCAACTTTTTTACATGTGCCACCTACGATCCCAAACCTATAAATCTTTATTTTCCTCCCCGCACCGTCCCATCCACTTTCAAATTACTAACTGTAGTGGTAAAAATTATTCCACTAGCCAAAAATGGCCCAAGTCCAAAAAAAAGGCCCACAGATGGCCCACTTGATAAACGCAATATCTTTTGGCCTAATTCGTTACGTCAATTAGGCCAAATAAGACCCACGTGTCAATTCGCAATCCTTGATAATTTATCTTCAAGATAAACTACACTATGATTTGACTAGATCAAATAGAAGTTATCTGAAAGCAAATTGGATATCTCAATTCAATAGATCTCCAACCAACAAATCTCGTAGAGCCCTCGTCAAAACTGTCTAGACGGTTATCCCACTGCTTTGAATTCCGTGGTCAGTCTTATGTTCAGGTACATAGAAAACAAATACTACTCTATTCTGAGTTATTTCTTCTCTCTTTTTGGTCTAGTATTTCTAGAATTCTTGAAAAACTTTTCTGACTTGACCGTCGGAAGGTCTTCGGCTGGCACCACACCGGTGCCCTCTTGAGATCTTTTTGTGGTCTTTCTTCTTCGTTCTACTTTTCGCAGGATTGCTAGTGGCTCGACCGACTCGATTTTCTCAACTGTGGAATCTACCGTCTACACTAACCGCCACATGTATATCACGTAAGGTAGCTACGATAGTAAACAACTGTAAATAACATTACTCTAACTTAAATAAATAAGTGGAAATAACTCCCAAAAGATTGTGAATAACGTAGCATCACATTTCTGTATAGGCTTTATAGCTCTTTTCGTTGTGATTAAGCCTTCTTCATCTACAATTATTAGTAAATCTCAAGAGGAATAGTAGTGAGTCCTATAAAATATGTGGATAATAAATGAATAGTAGTTATGAATGTGTGATTGTTTTGAATTTGACCAAATAAAAAAAGACAATATTACTCACTCCGTCTCCCAAAGATAAGGTTGCTTAAATTTTCACACAAATTAAGAAAACTTAATTAATGTTGTTGGAATTATAAATTTCACTTACGTTTTTCTTGATATACTCCAACATTGAATGATGATATTTTATATTTATTGATAACAAAACGCATTGGCCATTATAAAGAGAAATTAGAAGAAAATGATATTTTTGAATAATAATTTTTTGGAAAATGTGTGGTTAAAAAATAGAAAAAAATTTTGGATTTACACATGAAATATTTAATTGTGTGAATATATTATTGAAAATGAGTATAAGAAATAAAGAGTTTTAAT